TTTTTTTTTTTTGACACCTGCATCTTTTAGTTTGCTCGTTAGTTTTGCTTCTGAAGTTCTTGTTTATATTTGAGAACATCACTATTGCTTGTCAAATTCTTCTTCTAATCACCTTCTGGGCTATTATGTCAGTACATTCAAATATTGACACTTTTGCAGACAGCAAATACACTTTATTTGTCACAGACGAGTTTTGTCTCAGATTTTTTTGAAATCTTTTACTTTGCATATTTCTGACGGTTTGGGTATTTCTTAAGACAATAACGAAATAAATTCTTTCACAGTTTTAGCAGCAGCTTATTGCATAACAGCCACCAATTGTAAAATTTTTATTTTGTTAATTTTTTTCTAAAATATTTGTTTTGAAAGAATATTGCTGAAGGTAAACAGTGCTGGGATATCTTATCAAATTTTATATGCAGCAGTTCTCAGACACGACTGACGAAACTTTATAGCCAAAAAATACTTTTACAGACATATCTTTGGCAAAAATTCGAAAAACTTTTTTTTTCAGCAATTTTTTGAAATGCACTTATTAGCCCATAAACCATCTAATAAGATTCCCATGCGTTAACGATGATTGGTGACGCCACTGTTTTTGAACTATTCGTTGTATGCACTAAGCTGCACCATGCACACTTGTTCTTTTTGTCTTTGAAACTTCTAAGCAAAATAAACATCAAATGATAATTATTTAATTTTTACTACAGCTCTCAAACTTTTTTTTTTTTGTTTCTACTGTTAAAGATTTTTTTCTTTCTTGTAGCTGCCAAAATAAGAACAAACCAGAAAAGAAAAATAGCCTTTCAAGGAATCACTTGAAAAGATCTTGATTCTCACTATCAAAAAAGCTACAGGCAATTTGGAAAAATTAGTGGTGACATACAACACTGTATGTCTTTTGCATGGAGAAATCGTCGATTCTATGTCAAGAACACTGTTTAAACAGTTCAATAATTGGCGTTCACAAATCTGAACTGAACTCAAACACTAACAATTAAGTGTTACCAACCTTTGTGAAATGATACAGCGTCAACGCCGTCTCACCCGTTCATTTACTAAGAAAGTATTTATTTTTTAGCTTCTTTTAATGAATTTAATGTATTCGTCAGAAACTTTTATCAGAACAACTCATAACAACAGACAACTTTGTACTCAGCTTTTGGCAGTAAAAAAGACTCGAGATTACAGTGTTACTTTTTACCTTAAAATAGTTTGCTAAAAATCTGCACTTGACTGTAGTGAACTCATAAATCTGGCCAAAATGAAAAAGACTAATAGTTCAGAAAAAGTTTGATAATCTACTTTTTTCAAGAGCTGAGAAAAATGATAAGTTAAACAAAGTTCAATTTGAAACAATGCATCATTAGCAGTTCAAACTTTTTGCAAAACAAGTAACTCTTATCAGCAGAAGTAACAGATATTTAATCGGTAATTTTCAAAGAAAAAGATTTGACTTCGAGTAGTCTTTATAAGAGCAAAAAAAAAAAAAGTGTTAGACTACCATTCCAATTTGTTCTCGTAGGGTTACAGATGCGTTTTTCTGTGATTTTTGTCGTAGAGATTGACACGACTGAAAATCTGATGGGGAGTGATTAAGAAAGAAGAGAGAACTGTTGTTAAAGAAATCTGGACGGCATGCACTTAGCCGTATCCACAAGCTTGACCAATATCTTTAGCAGGCAAGTAATCATTTCGACGTAGTGGAGCTGTTCAACTGATCATTAGTGATTGCTTCTTATTTTTTTTTTTAACCAGAATTTATCAGAAAAGATTTTTAGGTGTTGATTGTCTGCTAGACAGCCGACAGTGCTCTGTTTACCTATTCATCCGTACAATCATCTATCTAAATCTATTAGTTTAGATCAACCAGGCCTAACCGGTACTTTAGTGCCTATGACTGATTCACGCATTAGTAGTCACCAAGTTGTATTGGTTTTTGTTGTCTCAGTTAGTTTTTTTTTTCTTTGAGTTTTTTTCTTTTTCTTGTTTCTTCTACAATATTCTTCTTACAAGTTTTGCTTTTTATTTTATTTTTGTTGCAAGGTTGGAAAGAAAAGCAATAAACGCTTTTTAACAAAGCTGATGAAGAAGACGAAGTAATGACTCGGAGATATCTCAATTTTTCATTTTTCTTTGTTTACTTGACACAGGTTTCTTCTGCTTATATATGTATATTACGTTTTTCTATAGCTGCTGCACATATCCGATTTAATTGCGAAAATGCTTCATTTAATCTGCTGAATGTTCTTACACAGTTATGTGTGTAAAAATACCGTTGTTTTTTCGTTAAGTGTAATTTGCTTCATTTTTTGTTGCTCTGAAAAAGTTTTTCACAAAAATGTTAGAATCTGTACAAAGAAAGAAAAAACTGTTGTAAAAAACACCTAACTAATGTCAATTTGCTTGCAACAGACACCTTTCATTTCAAGTATCTCTTATGCAGAAGCTTACAGAAAGTAAATGACGAATAGATAAATGAAACTGAATTCCTAACAGGACCGAAGTTTTTTTTTTTTTTTCTCACATATACAGTAAAGTCTGTTGTTTCAATAAAGACTGCTTGGAACCAGACTTTGGCTTCAACAACTTCAACTGCAACTTTCTAAAGAAAATTCGCCGTGATATTTAGAACCGCCAAATTGGTCAAGACTGTGACTTCCTCTTGTCTTCTTCACGTTTTGCAAAGTACTTTTTTTTTTTTTTTTGAAAAGTACCGCGAAGAAGACAATGTAAAGGTCAAAAAAGTGTTATTACATAATAACGCTAGTCAAAACATTATGGCATTTTTTTTCATTCACAAATTCGTCATCACATTGTTTCGAAGAGAGAGGTTGTTTCAGACGTAATAAAGTAAATATAAAGACGGACGTAAAAACAAAAGTCTAGCCCGGTTATTTACGCTGTGCTAAATTCAGCGACTCTCACAACTGCGAAAGCGGATGATTAATTAGATGAAATGAACAACTTTAGAAACTATACTTGTAAAAAAAAATAAAAAACTAACAAAGTTATCATAAACTCATTTTTAGTGCAATATTTTAACTGAACAGTGTTTCATTCTAACTACTGCTTAAATCAGCAAGAAAAAACAGGTTTTTAAAAGTTTCTTTCTCAAGTTTTTAGCTTTAACTATCATAAAACTGAAGCATATAGAACGTATAGAGATACTTTTTATAATCTCTAACAACATTTTAAGTTTAGTTTGTAAGCAACTTTTAAACTAAAGTAAGGTGAACTGATAAAATTGCCAATAATCAAATGTTGAAAAGAATAATCATTTTTTTATTTGTGTCAAAAAAAATTGTAATAAAAAGTTTTTACGAACATTTTACTGTACAAGCAAAAATAAATTAAAAT